ATGGATTTTATCACGAGTGATCATGAGACGATAATATCTTATATTCTTCAAACCTAGAGATATGAGTTGTTACTATGAGTTGATTGTACATTGATTGCATGAAAATGCATTCGGTAACTCGATGTTATAAAACGTGCCTTTGTGTATGATTCAACAAGTAGTACAAGAAGCCCTATGAGTCGAAGTTTATAGATTCCTTTTACCTTCGAGATAAAAGCGATATCTGTGGGCCCCTCGATGATTTGATGATGACAAATGTAAGGGCTCGATCGGGCCAGGACTGATTTGATTTGTTTAATTAGTCAGTCATCATAAATTGGAAATCGGGAAACAACAAATGGACAGAGAGAATGATTATAATCCATGTCTCAGTCAATATGATATCTAGAATGGAGGAATATATGATCCCTTATCTAATGCACAAGTCATTGATAAAGGTCAGAGATCCTCGGCAAGGTCAGAGTTCAACAGAAGCTTTTGAGAGCTACCATTTCCAGTCGGTTCTTGAAGTCATACGTAATAATAGTTTTAAACTTATCCAAGTGGGAGACTGTCGGATTAATATCTAAGTCCATAACTATAATTAGTGAGACTTGACCCAACCCGGCATGGTCCATTTGGGTTGCATGGCATCATGCATTTGGATAGACTATAATGAGAGAAATAACACTAAAGGTTTGTTAATATATTATAAGCTCTAATATATTAATAAGATTATTTATTTAGTATTTATCAAGAATTAATCTAGGATTAATTAAGTGATCAAAAGAAGACTAATGTGTAAATCATCCATACTTGTATAGTGGGCTAAGTCTCCATGGACTGTCAAGTTAAGCTAAAACCCATAGGATGCTACATGGATGGTCCATGGTGTATTTTAACCCATGGATCCAATTAAATGGAAAGACATGACAATTAGGGTTTACCCTAATTGTGACACTATATAAAGATCATGTTCTAGGGAAAATCGGCCACTATGTGTGTGTCTGAAAAGGGCTAGATGATTTTCATGAAGTGTGAATTTCTCTCAAGTCATTCCATGTGTATTTGGTGTTGTGTGAACCATTTGAGATGTCACACTTGCGGCACTAGGCACTCAAGTTTCATGAAGATAATCTAAATCAAAGAGGTATGTAATTCTAACTTGATATATTCATTTGAATCAATGTTATTATGCTAGTTAGGATGAATACCTTGGAAAGATCATATTTGCATGTATAATAGAGAAAACATGGATCCAAGGTATTTAGGATTGCATGCACACTTAGGAGTGTTAGAATTCTCATAACCCAATAGTTATATCATTGGGCTCATGCCTTGTGGATTAGGGATTAGGATGTAGGATTTGGAGCTTAGGGCTTAAGGCTTATGCTTGTGGCTTCTAACTTATGGATAAAGGCTTAAGGCTTATAAATCATGGTTTAATGTGTATGGTTTAGGGCTTTTGGCTTATGACATGTGGCTTGTGGTTTAGGGATACCATTTATGGTTTATAGTTTAAGGCTTACGAATTAACAAATAATATATATGCTTTTATTCCAATCATGATATTCAAATATTATATTGTATGTATATATATATATATATATATATATGTTTGTGTGTGTGTATGTGTTTGTATGTGTGTATGTATGTATTTATGTGTATATATATATATATGTATATGTGTACGTGAAAATGTATTTATATGCATAATTGATGTGTATGTGTATGTATACATGTATCTATACATATATGTGTGTATATTTATATATATATATATATATATATATATATATACACGTATGTGTATGTGTGTGTATACGTATATGCATATATGTATGTGTGTCTTAAGAGTAAAGCCTTATGATCTACAGAATAAGCCCTAATCATAAGCACTAACCGTCAACACATGCACTATGTAGTAAGCTCTACACCTTAAGCCTTAAGAGTTAATTCACAATGTGTAAGGAATAAGCCATATACCATAAGCCCTAAGAAATAAGCTTTAAGTCATAAGATTTAAGCCATAAGCTCTAAGCTCTAATCTATAATATCTGATCCCTAGTCTCGAAACCATAATCCTTAAGCCTTATTGTTTATGTCATTATTACGTATGAATTAAATCTTTTGCATATGGCTTATAAATTGAGCCTTAGGGCTTACATATTAAGTCTTATAGCTTATCCCTTATTACTTATTGCTTATGGCTTGACTCTTAATTATACATTATATCTTATGAATTATATCTTATATGTTAAGTCATGGGGCTTAAGGCCTACAGGCTATATGTTAGGACTAAAGGCTTAAGTCTTACATATTATGGATCATGATTTAGTGGTTATTGTTTGTGGCTTAAGAATTTGGCTTATAGCTTAGGACTCAAGGCTTGGGGATTATGCCTAATGGCTTACAATGTGTGACTTGTTAATTTGGGATTATAGTTTTGGACTTATTTAATTTTTCTTAAGAGTTGGGTTTATGGCTTAGGGATTATGACTTAAGGCTTAGGGATTATGGCTTATTTCTTATGAATTAGAGCTTAAGGCTTAGGGTTTATGGATTATACCTTATGATTTAAGGCTTAGGGCATATGAAAAATAACTTAAGTCTTAAAAGCTTATGGCTTAAGGCTTAAGGTATATGCCAAATGGATTATTTCATAAGCCTTAAGCCTTAAGCCATAAGCCATAAGCCATATGCCATAAACTATTAGCTATAATTACATACACCCTCATTCTCATACCTACACCCATACCACCCCTACATACTTATACATATATACCCATTCCCACAAGCAAACACTGATGCCTACACTACTCAACCTCTACGTTACCTCCACCTTTACACCCTTACCCACCCACCGTACCTATACATACACCACCCACCCATCATATGCCCACACCTACCTTGCCCCAAATCTACACCCCGACCCCTGCCCACCCATCCTCACCTTATATAACTTACACCACCAACACACACCTAATGATACCCATGATGACCCATACCATCACACCCTACATCCACATGCTCACGTACACCACGCACCCATCATTAGGTTTTGCATGATATTCCTATACACCCTGCGTATGAGGTGTATGCCCAACATACTAAGGCACGCACGCCCTAGTATGCTTAGCGTACACACGTACGCTCAACATACTCCCTAAATTCCAAAATTACCAAAATGCCACTATGAGCCTGTTTGCACTATTTTCTTTCACTTTAGGGACCAAAATGCAATGCATTCATTTATAGGGTAAAACTTAAAAGTACCTCATCATTGGGATGTTACACACACCCACATGCATTATTCTCTAAATAGGGTTTAACTTTCATTGTAATATTTGAGCATTCAAGTTTGGGTTTATTCTAATTTTGAGTTGTTTAGTTATTTCTAAATTTTAAATGTTCTACATGTGTCAAAGATATTTATAACTTCACACACTAACTCCATGCCCACACACCTACCCCTACCCCACCTCACAATACCTCCCACCCACCTACACCCACGTTCTACCTACTCCTAGGTATACACACGTTAGAGCTTATGATGTATCGCTTAAGGGTTAGCAATCACTAGTTATGACATATAAACCTTTGCTACGAAATTAAAATCCATAAAAATTTTCTAAAATGGAATTATTTTAAAAAATGAAAGTATGGTATCTGAGAACATTTAAAAAAATTACTTTTATGGAAAACTAAATTGTAAAAAAAAAAAAGAATTAATTTTATGAAAAACCAAATTGTAAAAATTTCGTAATAAAATTAACAAGGGTTAATACCTTAAAAACCATTATTTATACATATCCGTTTCGATTTAACCCTAATATTTTTATTTGTTACTTATTTGCCATTAATTGTGTTGACTGGTTATGAAAAGTCAATGGTAGCAGGTGTCGTCGGTTTAACAGGTTACCCTAATCTTTTACATACCCAAAATCCACTTTTTCCCCAAAACCTCTCCTTCACTCTTGCAAAAGGCGTTCTTCCTCACACATCACGTCTTCTTCTTTTCCATGGCTTCGTCTTCAACAACTTCTATCAGCAAACCGATTTATCGCACTAAGTGTGATTGTGGTGATCAACTGCAATACTTAGTTTCAAGAACTGATAAAAACCCAGGAAGAAAGTTCAAGGCATGCCCTAACTATAAGGTAAAATTGAGGGATTTTGTTTTCCCATTTTGTTATCTTTCAAAAGTTAGTAAATGAAGGTTTTGTTGGCAGGGTACCAAAAAAGGGTGTAAATATTTCAAGTGGCTTGACACGGAAGAGGTGGAGTTTTATGCTAATGAAAGGGAGCCCTATAACAAAGTTGTTGTTAGTGGTGTTCTGCAGGTGATCAAGTTGTTGAAGTTTGTGTTGGTGATGTTGGTGGTTATTGGAGCAATTTTTTTAATTGGCATTGTATTTTAAGAACCAGTTGGTTAGGGCAGTTGTAATTTTTTTGTATTTGGTAGGGGTAAGGTTGTTGTAGGTTTGTTATTTTGGTTAGGGCAGGTGATCAATGTAGTTATGGTAATGTTTGATGGAGAAGTGTATTGATAGTAATCCAATCTTATTTATGTCCCTGTGATTTGGTAATTGCATTATAGTGATTCATTACAATGTAGTTATGGTAATGTACTAAATCTTGTGTAAGCAAGTGAAATGTAGTAGAACTTGGTAAAACTTGGTAGTAACTGAATGTACTAAAACAAGGAAGTAAAGGACATTAACTGGAATGACAATTAACATATGATTGTAAGCAAGTGAAATGACAAGCAAAGTGAAATGACATTAACTTCAAATACTTGCATTCATAATAACATAAAAGGGGGTATTACAATCAGTACCAAACAACCAATTGCCCAACAATCTTTTAATGGCCATGAACTACCAATGTTCAAAAAGGCCTAATTGAATACTACTAGATGCTGATATACAATTGGATGGTTGTTACCAAAAGCTGATGAAATGTTAAAAAAAAGGGCAAGCAAAATACATAATGCCCATGATACCCCCTCCTAAATAGTCCTAATCCAAATTAACTGGTTTCTTAATACTAGAACCCCTTCCATCCTTATCATAAACTGCTTTCTTCAGCTTGATGTTCACAATTCTCTCAGAAATCTTTCTTTTCCTAGGCCTCCCAACAACTTGTGTATCTTCAATGAAGTCAATATTCCCATCATCTTCACCAACCCAAGCATTAGCATCCAAACCTTGTATAGCAACTTCTTGCACTGGTGGCACAATCTCATTAACATCTACACCCTGTAAGACATGATGTAATTAAATACCCTATGTTAATCACATATTAGTTTTAAGAAATTTAAAGTAAAGGTTGGCATACCATTTCCAAGTTTTCTTCAAGCAAGTTATCTTCAATCTCATTAACATCCTCTTCTAAGTCTGCTTCCAAGTGATCTTCAATCTCATTAGCATCTACACCCTGTAAGACATGATCTAGTTAATTACCTTATGTAAATCACATATTAGTTTTAAGAAATTTAAAGTAAAGGTTGGCATACCATGTCCAAGTTTTCTTCAAGAAAGTTATCTTCAATCTCATTAACATCCTCTTCTAAGTCTGCTTCCAAGTGATCTTCAATCTCATTAGCATCTACACCCTGTAAGACATGATCTAGTTAATTACCTTATGTAAATCACATATTAGTTTTAAGAAATTTAAAGTAAAGGTTGGCATAACATTTCCAAGTTATCTTCAAGCCGGTTATCTTCAAGCAAGTGATCTTCAATCTCATTAGCATCTACCCTTTCCATAGCCTGTTCAATCTCATGAGGTTCATAACCACATTTTTGCAACAACAATACATCAATTTCATTAGAAATAGCATCTACATCATTCACAATTTTTGGTGCAGTTTCCTATACAGTTTCCTGTATAGTTCCATTTTCTTCTTGCACAGTTGCATCATTTGCAGTTTCAACCCCACCTTGGCCATCCTGGTTTGAGGATCCTTCTCCAGCCTTCTTTGTCTTCTTCTTTCTTTTCACTACAAGCTTAACTGCCTTTTGTTTTGAAGTTCCCTCTCCATCCTTGTTTGTTATACCATTTCCACCCCTCCTTGGCCTTCCTGGTTTTCTACGTGGCACATACTCCTTCATCACTCACTCATTCCTACAGGATTTCAAGTTATGTCCGAATTGTAAACATTTGCTACACCTAACAGTCCTACAAACTCTAACTCTCACAGTTGGGAACTTTGAATCATTGACCTCAAACACATGCCTTCTTCTCTTGGTTTTTGGCTTACCAGGCATTCTCCTTGTTAATGGAGGTAATGGCTTTATATAGTCAGTGGGTGCCCACAGGTTGCTTCCATTCACTGGTGATATATTTGTGGTATATGCAGCCATAAATTTCTCTTTTTGGAACCAAATGCTTAGAAAATCAGTTGGATTCATGTGAGTGTAGTTTATTGCTGCTTGACCATGCACACATGGTATTCCAGATATCTCCCATAGTCTACATGTGCAATAGTGTTGTTCCAAATCCACTTTGTAAGCTGTATACCCATACCTTGTCTAAAATACAGACCCCCCAGTTGCTATAACTTTCCAGTTCCTATAAATACAAATTAAAAACAACAATTTCATGTTAACTATACAACACAATTTAATGGTAAGTAGTAACAAGTTTATGTAAGAATTTGCATCATCTCTTTTCCAAACTCCTTCATTTTCTCTATGATAGTTGGACACGATTCAGTTCTCCAAGTAGAAGCTTTATCAGCCAAATAATAAAACCTAGCCATGACATAGATTCTGATTTCCTCTAACATTGTGAGAAGTGGTTTTTTCCTAATATTTATGATCATGGAGTTAAAGGACTCAGAAACCCCATTTTCCACTGCCTCACATGCATACCCTAATCCAAAAAATGCCCTACACCATGATTGTGGATTGTTAGACATCAACCAATCATATCCATTTGAAGTGATTTTCTTAATTGTTTCCATGTTAAACACAAAATCCCCTTCATGTGAACTAGTTGCAGCAGCCCATAACAAGTTTTTCAACTCTAAACCTGTATGCCTCTTCCTGAAGTTGGCATAAATGTGTCGTGCACACTGCCTGTGTTCAACATGTGGAAGGATAGCTTTTCACAGATTCTAGAAGTCCATGAAATAAGTAAATTCAACATTAATATGGATTAGACAATATAAATGAATACATAAAAAAATTTGTAGTATTTATGTTTACCTTGTGTTGATCTGAAATAACAACTACACCCCTTCCATCCTCAACACCCAAGTCATCAACCAACAGCTATAAAAACCAAGTCCAATTTTCTTTGTTCTCTACATTTACTACAGCCCATGCAATTGGATACACATGGTTGTTAGCATCTCTTCCAATAGCAGTCAAAATCTCCCCTTTGATTTGTCCCTTTAGAAAACATCCATCTAAGCCAATCACACGTCTGCACCCTGTATTCCATCCATCTTTCAATGCCTTAAAACATACATAAAAACGTTCAAAATAATTCACCGCATCTGGATTTACGGACACTCCTACTTTGCATGTACTTCCAGGGTTAGATCTAAGGATTTCGTTGGCATAATCCCATATCTTAGCATAGTGTTCCTCTAGTTTACCTTCTATCATCTCCCTTGCCCTTACCCTTGCTCTATGACATTGCCCCTTTGACACTTTCACTGAATATTTTGTAAGGACATCCTCCATCATCTCAGGCAGTGTCATTTTGGGCTTCCTAATTATGTCCTTAATGTAGTGTTTTGCTAACCAATTACAACTAACCAAATGTCCAAAATTATAATTCCTTGCACAAAGATGTGTTTCAACCATAGATTTTATCTGAAAAGTACGTTCATTATACTTCCACGAAGCATGGATCCTAAAAGGACATGATTTTTTTGCATTTTTTTCCTACACCTAACAATTACCCTGCTTTTATCACTTTTCATGAACCAAAGTTGGTATCCATTAGCTACAGCATAGTTAGTGAGTGCAAACCTTAACTGAGCAGGAGACTCATATAACTCACTAACTGTAGGCTTCATTTGGTTCCACTTGACGGTAGGATCGTGCACCCTGAACTCGACACCCACTTCCAAGCCATTTTCATCTTCAAGGTGTTCATGCTCAAGCTCTTCCTGGTGAATGTCTTCAACATCAGCTTCATCGTCCCCTTCAAACTGATTATTCTTTAACATTTTATCATCACATAAAATGTTAAGAAAAAGGTCGTCACACAAGTTAGATGTAGGATTGAAGTTATCTGGTTCAACATACAACAATCCTAAGTCAAGACGATCATCATCAGACTCTTCTTCATCACGTACGTATCTCAACTTTATCTTCTTTGTCGCCTTTGATTCTTTACTTTTCATTCTCCGTGATGATTCTGCCATCGAACCCTTGAAAACCTTCAGAAACCCTCTTTCAAAACCCTCTTGCAAAACCCTCTTTTGATGATGATGGTATCTGATAAGGGATACCCCTTTGTTAGTCAGAGATGAGGGAAAAGGTGGTGGCTACTATGCACATTCCCAAGAATTAGTAATCGAGTGAAAAGATGCAACCGGCAAGGACTTGATTACCGATTGTTAACCGGGTAAGGTGTAATAAATGGAACGTCATCTCATTAACGGTGGCAAACAAGTAACAAATAAAAATATTAGGGTTAAATCGAAACAGATATGTATAAATAATGGTTTTTAAGGTATTAACCCAATTAACAAAAGCAAAATTACATATTTTTTTTCCGATATCCCTAAATTTTATGCAAAAAATTCACTTTTGTAAGTTTTCCTCTCTTCCCAAATTTTGGAAATTTAAGTTCCCTATTGAACACGAAAAACAAATTGCCCTAACCCTAAGTTAGACTGAGAATCATAATCGAGATGCTGCGGAAATTGTTAATTTCTAGTCAAGGCCATCAGGTTCCTTCTTTCTCCGATCAGAATCATTTTCTAACTACTTTGTCACTTTTCCTTCATCATCTCTCTTTTTCCTCCAATTCCTCATTGTTTTTCTAGTATTCACATGTTTCTAAGCATTTTATGGTGTTGTCCGTTGTTTCTAAGTATCAATTTGCTATAGGGCTTGTTAGTTTGTACAATCTATCATATATCCATTACTGTTTTGTTGGGTAGACTTGAGTACCAGAGAGAGAAAGTTTTAATGTCGCACTTCAAGTTTTCTATGGATTGTTATGGCGATTTGTAACAATAGCTTATTTATTTCATGTCGGTTTTCATTATGTTCCTTTCTGTTTGCTTGTGTGGACTTATGAGTTGATGTAGTTTCAATGAAAACCAACTTGTTAGTGTCTTCATTTTACACTGCGTGAAATGATGTACACCAAGTGTTTGATAAAAATTCTCAATGAGTTGTTATTCCCCCAAAAATTAAAGTCCCTTATACGTATTCATTTGTGCCACCTCTCTAAGAGGAGGGTCAGATATAATATTTGGCACAACAATTGATCTAGGGAAATTGAATTCCCAGTTTGAGGTAGTGTTTTACTTTGAGCATTTGTAGAGTGGAAGTGAAAGTGATTGTGCATATTTATTGAACTGCAGGAATAGGTCAAGTCTTGTTGATGGGAAGATTGAGAAATCTGGAGATAGGAAGGGATTAGCGGAGAGTGAACCCTCAACTTCAACCGTGTGTGTTAATGGGAAACTTGATTTCTCTAAGCTGAAAGGGGAGATTTTTCTAGACAATCTTTTAGTTAGAGAACTTCATGCAACTTTCAAGGCTACATTTGGCAGGGAAACTCCTGTGAAGGATCTCCATGGGGCTGTCTAATTCTTGTGATGTTTAACAACATAATAACGAAGAAACCCAAAGTAGAAGAAGACTTTAACGATAAAAATAACCTTAATAATGAGAATGAGAAGGAGAAGGAGAATCCATTTGTTATATCAGTCAGGCAAAGTCAAAGTGAGGCCCTCAATGGTTGGGCTTGACCAACAACTAAATGAAAAAAAAGAGTCAAGTGGTAGATCATTGATCCTTAAATGATAATATTTTAACAATTATGTTTACTTTTACCATTGTATAACAATTAGTTATTATATATATATATATATATATATATACACACACACACATAAGTAAATTAGGAGGTCTAATAATTATCAATCTGTAAAACTAATAGTTTTGATCAAACCTATTAATTAGAACGACTGTTGTAAGTGTCAAAGCTTCCACCTTTATTGTTGTATTTGGCTAGTTCTAAGTTTTGTCCCACTTTTCTCATTGTTGAGAAAGTTTGAATGAATGGAACCCATAAAGTTGGCAACTTTATGGGTTATAAGGATCCTTAGAGTGCCATGAAGTTCAGATCTAGTGAATGGTTAAGTTTTGAATCGTTGCATGAAAGGTTGATGACCTTTTCTATATTTTTTTATTCAAATGAGATCTAGACATGTATTACACATGCATGTCCATGATGATTGGACTTTTAAGTGTACTTTGGAGTTATAAGACCTTATGGATAGTTAGAGTAAAAGGATTATTGGATTAAGGAATTAAATCTTTGGATTTTGGCTTCAGACTATGCTCATGACGTGAGATATAAGGTCTCACGACGTGAGACTGAATGACACCATTTTCTATTGAGCTTTTTGGGACTCACGACGTGACATAATGCTACTCACGTCGTGAGATCAGCTCAAATGGTTTTTCCATGTATGAGTTAGTTGAGTTGAGTCGAGACGAATTGGAATCAGACCCAGTAAGCTCTCACAACGTGACTAAGGGTTGGTCACGACATGAGGCTGGATAGTTGGCATTGTGGGCTACTAACGTTGATATATTGACTACTGACTTTTGGCATGGGTTGACTGTTGGTCAAGATGGTTGGTTTCAGTGTGTAGACAAAGGTTGGACCTTGTATGATGTGATAAGAGTGTTGTAGCAGTGATTGTGAGGCTTTTAGCTGCGGTTTAGCTGATTCATGATTTAGGTGAGTCTCCTCACTATACTTGTGGGTCAAAGGCACCAATTTCGGCCCACTGGATTGTACATGTCATAATACTAGTTGTCTTTGTGACTCTTTCATGTTTGTATGATTGGGTTGAAATAAACTTGATCCAGGTCTAGGCCCATAACTATATATGCTTCGTTACAAAGAAACGCCAAGGCTAGACCCATGATTGTATGTTGGGTTGAAATAAACCCCAGGGGTAGGACCAATTATTGTATGTTGGATTCGAATATACCCTAGTGTTGGGTCCATTGAGGTTTATGGTATGTGGTATTTCGGGGAACTCACTAAGATTTATGCTTACGGTTTCATGTTTATGGTCTCAGGTACTTCCAACATGGAAGGTAAGGGCCCGACGTGACTGCACAAGATCCCCGAGAGTTTATTCCTCGGCTATTTGTGATTTTTACTGTGATGTTTAATTATTATATTTCAACCTGGTTTAGTTTTGGAATAACACATTTGAATTGTTTATGATTTTAAAAATAAAAATTTTAATATGACTTTTTGGGACGTTACCTTATTCAATAAATGTTGTAAAATGGTCCTAAATTACATAAAAATATTGTAAACAAAGGTTAAATAAAGTCACTAAAAATTTCAAAAAATTGAATTCATAAAAAAAGAAATAAGCTTCAGATGACTTTGTAAAAAAAATCCATGAAAATATCCTATAGGGTCATATTAACAACCGCTTGATGCACATATATTATTTATAACAACTAGTAAAGAGCTCGCGGCTATGCTGCTTTTGGGGTAATATGGGAAAAATCATCAAAGTTTAAAAGATATATGTTGAAATTGTAAATCACCACAAATAGAGGAGAAAGTCGATAACCTCTAAAACTAGATGTCAATAGTGTACAACCAAAAGAATAGACACTGCTGGAGAAAATTCAAAAATATTGTGGAAATAATGTTAAAGTTGTCAAAGTTGGGAAAATATGGTGACAAAATTCAAAAGGAGGTTTTTTTTTGTTTTTTATGTCAAAATGTAAAAGTTTTTAGTACAAGGACGAAAAGTGTCAAATTCATAAAAGATTTGTGGCAAAAACATCAAAAATGGAAAACTTTTGACTGCAAGGACTAAAAGTGTCAAATTCAATAAAGATTTGTGGCAAAAATCAAAAGACAGAAAAACTTAATCAAAACGCAAAAATATAATAGTTTTGAATTTAAGGGTGAAAAGTGTCAAATACACCAAAGATTTGTGGCAAAGACCTAAAGCGCAAAAAGTTACTATTGCTAATGCCCTTGTGATTTAATATATATATATATATATATATATATATATATATATATATATATATATATATATATATATATAACTCTTGTATTTAATTGAAAATTATTTATTTCATTGAAATATTAATTTTCATTGTACATCTTTTTGGACTAAACAATTTTTTTTGTCTTATATGAAAGTGTATGAGTTTATATCTTATAAAACAAGTAGAAGAATTTTATAAAATTGTTTCTCTTTTTATACATGAAGTCATGAGTAGGCTAGAGGAGATGATAAAAGTGCTAGTTAATTATTATAAGATATAGGCCTTACTTTAGAAGATATGGCAACTTACATAATCACAACGCATAGGCTTTAGAAGCATGAGATGTCTAAAACGTTTATGAGAGAATGGGTAAAGACATAAAAGAGAGCATAAATGCTTTCACTAACTTATTCTTTTCTTAGTTGAAAAATCCAAATGTTACTCCTCTCTACCTATTTTCTCTTTCACTTAAGGTATTCAGTTACTTCTAAGAGAAAAGTTTGATACTTGGAGTAATCTCTTTTAAGGCGAACTAGTTTCATTGTCTTAAGGTCTTAAGAGATCCTTTTTGTTACAAGAAGAAGACTAACATTTTATCAAGTTGAATAATTTTTAGTGTTTCTAACTAATGCGGCGTTCTATTCTACAATCTTTATCAACTTCCAACCTACCAAGAGGAGTCAAAGTCTTCAAAGTTGTAATATTTTCATCATATGCTTGTGTTAATCTTTCTATGTTTGCAAAATGATCATTGATGGGTTAAAATAGTTTTAAGTTTATTCACAATTTTAAATCTTACGTTGTCATTTCTAATTTTTTTTAAACCAATTTTTGAATAAGACCCAACATTTATAAGTTACTTTTCTTTTAAATTATTGCATTCAACTTAAATGAATTGTTGAAAAAAAAAGTTACAAAAAATACTAATATATAGCAATCCATTAAACTCTCTAAAATTAAATACATTTAGATACCTGAGTTTCACTATCCAAGAAGGTGATTGGGTAAGTTGAAAAAAAATGTGTTTTTTAGCTTATTACTGGTTCATATCGATATAAGTTAAAGGAAGTGTTTCGATAGATATTTTTACAAAATACTATATATACTCGTGCAATAACAATTACCAAATATACTGAAAATGTAG